TTGAATTATAGAGGATTAACCAAAAATAGCCACGTAACGAACGATTGAACGATATAAAGGGACTCAAAAGAATAAGTAATACGTGTTCTTGACAGGCGACAGCTCCCATGCCAGGATGCACGATGAAAATCTTCAGCGGAGATCCAACGAGGCATCAAGTGGCTGAGAACGTGAAGATCGGGGACCCTCTGACCTTGGTCATTAGCATCGACAAACAGGAAATGTTCGGTTTGAAGATCTCTGATTGCCTGGTACGCGATGGCCTGGGATGGGGAGAGCAAAGACTCATAAACGACGAAGGGTAATTTCATATTGCACATTTTACGGATAACTAGAAATATTTTCTTCTTTTTTACCGATTAGTAATTAAAATGAATAGATGTTCAAATATGTAGATACTATTAAAAGAATACACAATGCTTCGAACACAAGGTATCCATCCTTCTTCGGATGATTAACAAAACGTAATCTAAAGATCAATAGAACCTTATTCCAATGGTGTAGAAACGTAAAAGATAGAACTTACAACAATCATATAAATTATGTAGTGCTTTTTTACGAGTGCCTCTTCGAAGAGAAAATATTGGAAATGGGTATAATGAAAGAATAATATATAATTTTGTTAATTAAGAGTTTTGATTTTATTTCTAAATTGTCACGAATAAGCTGTAATTTTTACAGAAGGCAAACCCCATATCCTAAGCTTCCTCTTTTCTTATTCTACAGTGAATGATTTGCAGTATACATTGTACATATATTCTCATTACATCTATTTTTGTAGTAAAATGAAAGGTTAAATTATAATAAATATTTCAACAAAGAATGTATCCCAGAATGCGTTGAAATAATTTTGCGTCCATTTCAATCTGCACTCAGAAATCGAATGAAATATGAAATCCTTTCACGTATCCTCCACTGAAGTTCCATTTCATTTTGTCTATGATTGTTTTTATTTGTTTTACGCATTTTATGTTACAACGATGTTAGAATAAAGTTTTGTCGATGTTTAGATTATGTTTTTCTTGTGCTCGAAACCTAATATATTTTGTTTGTTAGACATATTCGCTTTAGACATAATATACATTAACACTATTCAATATTGCCATCACCACCAAATACTATCCCAAACCTACTCAAACAGTATTTTCATGGAGTGAGGGTATACAGTGTGTCCCAAAAATGTTGGTGGTCCTTGAAAGGGGTAGTTCGATTGAAACAACTTATTATTAGGTTATTTGAAACAACTTTTTCCTTAAAACGTTGATCGCCACGTCACCCATATATGGATGACAGTGCTTTTCATTGAAAAACGAAAAGTATTCATTCTGAAAGTTAAGTGTCATAGAAAATGAATTCACACGAAATACCTGAATTTTGATAAAGTTACAGAACTAAATACCAAAATAAATGTTTCATTACGCAGCTTCCAATAGTCTGTAAAGAAAATTTAAACACGGTAGAAATTTTCAAGAGTTTTAGTCTGGCAATGAACGTGTTAACCAGTTTATCGTGCTCAATTGCTCGAAGGCCCAGTAAATCGACTCTTTGAGCGCGCTATAGATACGAATATCAACGGTTAACTTGAATTTGTCGCGGTCATATTCCATTCTGATCGCAAAGGCGTCTAATAATAGGTAGAGAAATGTTCGAAAGAACAATTCTCTGACTCGTATGAATAAATTGGCCGCGTCAGAGCGTCCGATGAATTATTCAAGGGCCAGAATTCAGGATGCAAAAGCGGGCCGGTTCACTGACTTCTTTTCATAAGCAAATCAGCTGATCCAACGTCAACAGGTCGCGCGAACACTTTCCCTCTCGACTCGTCCGGTATGAATTTTAGATGTGAAGAAATAATAAGTTACTCGGGACGATAAAGAAAATAAGACGAAAACTTTAATGGCTTTTGTATTTCAGCTATAAAAGACTATTTTTTACGACTAATATTTTGTTCATTCGAAAAGTTATTTTAGCGGTAGAAATATATTTCGATTTTTAATATTTGATGTACCAAGTCTTTAACGATTTTCCTGTTCTCCTTGAATTACGGTTTTTTAAACGAACGAAGAACCATTGTCTGAGGTTAAATGGCTATAGCAATTTTATTGTAATCGTAGGTGCCCGATCGACGGTGAAATTATGGGACAGTTCACCTATACCGAAGACAAAACGGAGGCGAAGGTGAACTTCCAAGCGCACAAATTCCCTTACACGGCGAGCGTCTACTATCAATGTAACGTCAGATTGTGCGTGAAACACGACGGAGGATGCAGCAACACGGTAAGAAAAATTCTTTTATGATTGAAAATTATTTTATTTTCAAATCATCATGATTTTAAAATCATTTTATTAAGGGGGGTGCTAACAGGGAAATGTAACGTTTGTGACATACAATGAAGCATGAATAGAGACAGGGACAAATGAATGGATATGAGATAGTAGAATACGAGGGGTGCTAACGAAGAAAAGCTTTTTACTGAGTTTGATTTTCTATCTCTTCTTTTTTTTTTAATTTATTTATTCAATGTCGCATCAGATTTTTAGTCATTAGCGACCACATTGCAATACATTGTTATATTTGGTGTCTTATTACATCGTTTTTCACATACATCACTTGGTTTTCTTCTGTTGAACGAACGAAATCGCAATTTATCAAAAAAGAATTTTTTGTTTATTAACCCTTTGCACTCGAGGCCTTTTTATGATTGAAAATCATTTTATTTTTCAAATAAGGGGGGTGCTAACATGGAAATGTAACGTTTATAACATACAATGAAGCATGGATAGAGACAAATGAATAGATATGAGATACTGGAATACGAGAGGTGCTAACGAAGAAAAGCTTTTTACTGAGTTTGATTTTCTATCTCTTGATTCTTACGATGACCGTGAAATCTGTTAATTATTTTTTCCGTTAAATTCACAAAACGTATACCACATCCGCCCCAGGAGAATGAATACGTGCCCCATCCGGGCTCGTGCCGCAGCAGTCATCCTTAAAACAGCCGAGTATCAAGCTTGAAAAGCTTTATAGGCGTTAGGGAGTGTACACCTTGAAATAACAACATGCTTTTATCCTCTCGACGATGTCTCCAACGTTAGATCACATTCGACAATTGTAGCAAAAAATTGTTTCTAAAGTTTGTATTGTTTCGAATACACGCATATAAAAATGTGTTTCGTTTATAGTATTTTATACATATGTTCATTCTAAGACAGATACACGAAAATTTCAACGCATACGTGCGTCATCCTAAGCCAATGTGTTGATATTAAAGAATTTTTACTTTTTAACCCTTTGACCCGCGAGACGATTTTTGCGGATGTTCTACGTGGCATACTACTGCCAGACTCGTAGTTTGAAGGTCTATTTACACATATCCGTAACGTGTCAGTTCCGTATCCGTTCAGTTCCGTAATGTTCCATCAGTGTCAGTGATTTAAAATATTCTTTTGTTGTTTTTGAATGGTCATGTTCACACGGCATAGCATCCATGGCAATAGAATACTAAGAAAGCATCTTGAGTTGCTAATAGATACCAGAAAAAAAGGCCTCGAGTGCAAAGGGTTAACGAAGATTTGTACATCAAAATATTGTATGTTAGTAGCAAGAAATATGTCAAATATTCCAAAAATCGTTTAGAATTCTCTGAAATGAAAATGTTGTTGAGCGTAAAGGGTTAACGTTGTTTTCATGCGATAATCGAGATTCCACCGCAGGAAAGATGGAGCGAGTGTTATATAACCGTTGGACGTAAACGAGGATGTATGTCGCGAAATGTCGTTTGGAAAGTCTCCAAAAGTGATCAATATTCCGTTGTTGCAGCCGCCGGCATGTAATTCGATAACGAGACGACGCAGGGATACTACGAACGACAACTCGGCGAAGGGTGTGATAGGCCTGGACGGAGGAACACCGGCCACTATCGAGGTGTACAGCGGGCTCTACGTGAACGAAGCCTCGGACATTGGCTCCAAAACAGACTTCAACGATGATGTCTTCAGAGAAAGGGTGAGCCCCATTTGTATTCCAAACGTTAGGTGTATTTCGCGGTAGCACAGCGTCGCGATTTTCGAGTTATCGTTCCTGGTGTTCTATGTAGTAGCTAGCCTCAATGGCATATGACGAAAGAGAGAAATTGAGAAGTCGGGTGTCGAAATCATGGATTACCAGAGAACATTAGTCATGTGGGATTACGCTTGGTTTTGTAAACATTGGGTAGGAACCATTGGTGGAGCAACCTTCGAAATCTTGATAACTATATTCGAAGAGACTCCAACTTTCGATTTTGCGATTTGGGTTCTGAACCATAGAAATTGACTCTGACCATTTATTGGGTTGTCGGAAAAGTCGTGATGCATTTCTGCAACACGTGGCAGTAGTTTACTTTTGGCAGTACTAGAGTCAGTTGCAACCACGTGATTGCTGTCATTTGACAACTAAGGACTCTAGCTTCGTAGTAAACAAAAGACTGATCGATTTGGTTGAGTTTGAAAAAATTTTACGATAAATTGAAAATGGAAGATCAAACTGTACATTTTCGCCATATTCTATTGTTTTACTTCCATAAAGGGAAGAACGCAAGTCAAGCTTGCGAAAAGTTGCGTAAAGTTTACGGTGACAATGCTTTATAAGAACGTCAGTGCCAACGATGGTTCACGAAATTCTGTGCTGGTGATTTCAATCTCAGCGATGCTCCTCGGTCAGGGAGACCCATCGCGGATGATGATGACAAAATCAAAGCAATAATTACAAAATTACTGGAGTTTGGATGGGATGTGTTACCACACCCACCATACTCGCCAGATCTTGTGCTATCGGACTTCCATTTGATTCGCGCTTTTCAAGCTTCTTTGGGTGATATAACGTTCGATTCCGATGAGGCTGTTAATCAGCACCTTAGTCAGTTTTTCCCCGATAAAGGCAGGTCCTTCTATAAACGAGAAATTATGAAACTCACTGAACGGTGGCGAAAGGTTATCGAACAAAACGGGCTATACAGTGGCGAGCATATAAATAGAGAAAATATTTTGTTAACATATAAGACGTTGTTCTGCAGTCCCGATTGGTATTTCTCCTTTAATCTCTCCATACTTCAGAAGTACATTTCTTAAGCTTTACAATGCTGTATAGTTTTAATTGCTAACGCCGTTTAATTAATAAGAAAAAATAGACTTGAAATAAGGACATTTTTGAAGAGCATCTAAATAGGGAACTAGAGAATTATTTATCAAAAGTATTTTATTTTGTAATATAAACAACATATTCACAATAACATATTAATATTTCGTTGGGCCTCCCTTTTTTCTTATTACCTCAGCACAGCGACGTGGCATAGAGTCAATAAGACGAATACAGCGATCGATTGAAATACTTTTCCAAGTTTCTTCTATCAGATCGCATAAATCATTTAAATGCGAAAGCTTTTTGGTTTTAATTTCTTTATCCACGTCGTTCCAAAGGTGCTCTATCGGATTTAAATCCGGCGACTGAACAGGCTAACCCATGACTCTAACTTTATGTTCCTCCAAGAACCGTTTTGCCTTTCGTGACGTGTGTTTTGAATCGTTATCAGCCTGAAATATCCAGTCGTCTGGCAAATTTTCTCGACTAAATGTCATTAAATGTTCGTTTAAAATATATAGATACATAAGGTGCACTATACATAAAGATGCTGGTCCATGATGCCATTAATACAGCAAATTGGATCAGGATCGTTTCTAGTCATGCCACCCCAGACCATCACAGAGCCACATCTTCCTTTAACGGTTGATTTTAAACACTTCGGACTAAATTCTTCACCTATTCGACGTCGTACATAAGTTCTTCCATCTGATCCGAAGCGATTAAACTTAGACTCGTCAGTAAAAATTACTTTCGTTCATTTCTCTCTTGTCCAGAAAAGATGCTCTTTAGCAAAGGCTAGTCTTGCCTTACGATTTTTTTGACTAATAAATGGTATTGTACGGGCGATACGTCCTCTTAGTCTAAATTCGTTCAAACGGCGCCGAACAGTGTGAACACTAATTTTTGTGTCCATTTGTGTAGAAATTTCACGATGAATATCAACCGCAGTCTTAAATCGGTCCGCTTCTGAAAGACGGTGTATCGTTTGATCCAATCGTAGTGTTGTTTTTCGTGGTCTTTCATTGCGTATTTTATTATCAACAGTTCCATTTATTTTAATATGTTTAAGTGCTTGATGGACAGCGTTAATTGAGATTTTGAGACGCTCAGAAATTTTACGAAGCGTTAATTTTTCATTCCGAAGTCGGAGAATTTCTAGACGTTGCACAGTTGTAATATGTTTGCCACGACCCATTTTTATGTGCAAAAACTGATATACCTAACTGCACTTTACATATGGTATTACTACTTGTACTTTATAATCACATGAACTTATCAAAATATACGTTGAAAATAAGAAACTCAGTTTTTGCTATTTAGATGCTCTCCAAAAATGTCTTTATTTCAAATCTACTATGTTTTTTTTATTAATTAAACGACGTTAGTAATTAAAACTATACAGCATTGTAAAGCTTAGGAAATGTACTTCTGAAATATGGAAAGACTAAAGGAGAAATACCAACCGGGACTGCAGAAGAACGTCTTATATGTTAACGAAACATTTTCCCTATTTATATGCTCGCCACTGTATATCATTGATTGATCTTTGTCCTTTATATAAATAAATAACTTTTTCGACAATCCGATATAGCTTGAGCGTAAAGTTTTTATTGTTTCGGTTAATATGTCATTGTATCCAGAGGCGTAGCGAGGAATGCATTTCAATGAATTTGAGTCCCCTATCATATTGGAGGGAGGAGGGCTACCCTATAATACAGATAATTTCAGATCACTCCATAACTTAAAGTTTCCGATATGTACTAATTTGAATATGTTCAAAACTACCCTAAAGTTTTATGGTAGGGGGTATGAGGTGTGAAATAAGAGTGTTTAGACCGCGCGACGGTTTGAAATGCGCATGGAAGAAAACGCATGGACCAAGCGAATATTTAGACTAAGGGAGCGATTGCTAGGCGCCAGATTGGGAATGAATGATAAGAGTACACGTTCTGTGTGTGTGTGTGTAAGGGTAAAAGCAAGACGTGCCTGGAAAAATCCAAGAGTTTTAGTTTCAAATAAGACAACGAAGCGTAAAGATCAGTGGAAGTCAGAGAGTCAAACTGCATGTGCGACTAACAGCGAATGCGTTATTTCAATTCATATCCATACCGATAATAGTTTAACTGTAATCCTGCACCACCATTGTAATAACTGTAACATCCGTTGCTATTATCAAATAAAATCCTACAATAACGTCGTCTATTTTTTCATTTTCAGACAATCGACGATCCCAACAGCATCTGCGTTTCGCAAAGAAGCTTCGCCATTGGTATCGCGATCGCGGGTCTGATCCTGATGCTGGCGGTGGTCGCCGCGATCCTCGTCCTGCTCGCCAAAAAACGGCACAAGAGCGTCTCGACGACGGGCTCGTCTATCTACAGTGGGCCCTACACGAACACCGCGTACAGTCACAGCAGCTAAGTTCGCCCGAGTCTCGAAATCCCTCAGACGGGATATTCGAACGAGAAACTCTAAAACTACTGTACATGGTAGCGTAAAAGCGATCGGGAAATAGATCGAAGACGATCGACCACGACTACGACGGAAAGCCGAACGCTTCCGAACGATCGCATCGGTTCTACGTCGGCCCGGTTGAACCGAGGCGCAGAGAATTTAGCTGGATTAAACGAGATACCTTTTGCTCAACTGCCGATGCTACTTATCGTTACTTTTTATTGGGTTGTCTGGAAAGTGCATGCCTATTTTTAAGAAAAATTCAAAGGCATATTTGAATTTTGATGTATATTTATTGAACTATATATGTACCATTTTGTTCCACAACTTTTCCACATTTAAGGAATGTACACATGTTATTCGTTTTCATCCATTCCGAGATGTTAAGACCTGTACCGTCTAATAAAAATCGGCATGGACTTTTCAGACAGCCCAATATTTGGTCGAGGAAGTAGCCCAGAATCGATGGATCTAGACACGTGTTGGAACGTATCGGATGAGTCTACAGTATACAGAATCCGACAGTGTATGCGTGTCTTTTTTTTTAAATCTTGCCATCTTTTTGGTAATTTGTTACACCGTTTTCTACCACTGTCTGTTCGATACTTCCTCCGCTTGGAAATTTCGTACTTAAGCACGTGTCGCGGTCTTCGCTTAGAGAAATCGTAGCCTAGCTCGTTTTTACTTGAAACGAATCGACGCGAATCTCTAGGATTAACCATAACATATAAGCTATATATACTATTATTATTATTATTATTATTATTATTATTATTATTATTAATATTATTATTATTATCATATACATACTGTATACTAGTCCGGTATACGCTGTCCTAGCTAACCTAGCAGCCGCACTAAATGGCGCAATGCACGAATATTTTCTATCCATCACGATCATCCCGGTAATTTAACTTAATCACCCGTGCAGAACGACTCACTCTAGCGTTTAAGGTGAAGTCAACTAGTACCCAGAGACTCTTTAAACGAATCAAACGCCCCGGTGGCTCTAGTACAGGGTGATCCGCTCGCTAGTAGACACAATGGACAACCACAATAGCCTACCGTCATTGGAGACTTTATGATGGTGACCCACGCAACGAAAGCGGCTGTATGGGTGAAAATATGTGTGTCGAGAAGAAACATCCCTTGGGAAAAATTACTACATATATATTAAATACTGAAAATTAAGAAAATGTAAAGAAGACAAACATTATGAGAGAAGAATTCAAGAACATTTTAACACTTTATTTACCGGGAGCCTATTTATAGGCTTTTTAATTCCAGTATTTAGGTTTTCGAATTTATTTACTGTGTTGATGGTTGTCTACTTACAATTTTCAGTTTTTGGAAACAGACTTGGCTTTCAATGTATCTAGTAATAGTACGAAGGAATTATTGCCAGCCTAGATTGGCATATGCTGATGCAGAAAATTCTTTTGTGAATTAAAGATTGTTTCTAAATAGCCCGGTAAATACAGTGTTAAGATCGTCCTTATTTTTATTTCGTATTCAGTCTACTCAGATTTAATCTCATTTGTGCGTTTTATTTACAATTTTTCTAAGTAAACGACTGAAATTCAATTCCACGCCTATGTTTACAAAAACGTTTCTTCTTGGCAAGCATATTTTCAACCATAGAGCCGCTTTCGTTGCGGGAGTCACCGTCATAAAGTCTACAATGACGGTCGACTATTGTTGTGGTTGTCCATTGTGTCTACTAGCGAGCGGATCACCCTGTACTTACTGTCGCTGAAAGGGATCTTGTGAGGTCTTAAACCGAAACAGTAGTTATTGCTTTATTGGCCCAGGTAACTGATCCGTAGGACGACAGGGGTGTCCTACGTGTCCTGGCTCTAAAGTATACATGCCCACGTTACATCCCGGGGCCCTCAAGACTTGATGTTTGCTACGCGGGTTTTTCCAAATTAAAAAAACCGAAAACTCTTGACGACGATTGGTTAACTAAGTTCCTACCTACCACAATATTTTCAATAAGTTGGCCAACAGAATTATGTGTGAACATACATAATAAGAAAAAAGTTATTGAAATATGAACATCCTAATTCTAATACCATACGGCTCTGAACGAAAAGTCTAGCTCTGTTTTTATCTAAAAAGGTGTCAGATTACTAATTGCGGTCGACTTAAGTTGTAAAGATCGATGTCCGACCGACTTTACGACCTCACAAGATCCTTTCCAGCGACAGTATCTACTTAGGTACCGACCGTCCTTTTTTCTTCCACTTCCACGCTACAAACGTTGGCGTTGGCACGTTTCCTTCCTACGTTACTAGCAAGCAATCTTTTCCCATATTTATAGCCAACCTCACTCACTTTCTATTTCTCTGATTCGCTGTTTATACTCGAAAAATATATTCTGATGGGAGCTGAATAAATTTCAACCCTCGATTGATAGAGTGAAATATTTCTTACACAATTAATAGAAAGTCTTCGTCGAAATTTTAGGGGAAAAATTTTAATATGCAAGATACTTGGAACCAGGCATGTATATGATGTAATTCCCATCAATCGAGGGTAAAATAAAGGTCAAACTTGTCAACTTCCGTTGACGTTGGATAATCTAAATATACATGTATAATTTAATTTCATTATTTACGACAGTTATTTGGTTGTAGGGGCCAAATATAACATTTTGTCCTTATCGGTTGAAAAGCATCTCCTTCGATTAAACGTCGGCTACGCGTTTGTAATTTCCGTCCAACTAGCCAATGAACCGATCAAGAATACACGGATCAGCTCCTTCGAATCGATCAGAGACGAGTTTTCACGAGTTTAAACGAATTATAGTTCTCTTATCGGGCAACCCGAGAGTTGCATGGGATGTATCGGTTATTACGCGCTTCCGATGAAGCTGCGTGCGTCGTGTTATGTGAGATTAGATCCCGTTGTTGCAAAAACGAAGAAAAAGGCTTCAACGAGTCCAGTTATACCGTTCCAACCACGCGAAAAAAACAAACAGCAATCGGAAATAGGAGATATGCAAAATACAGATGTCTAGTAGATGAATTTTCGATTTTATTTAATATTAATAATAACTACTATTTGAATTATAAAATGAAATTGTACATCACGATGATCGAGCCAAAATTTATTTAAATGTTTGTTCGAACGAATAAATCGCCCTAAAGTTTTTCTTTTATCCTGTAATCAGGCCAGTTTGTTCGTGTTTGCGACAACGTGGCCCTTTGCATGTGTGTGGCGATAAGCGAGTGTATAATCCGATTGTAATCCATTTATAACGCTTAAACGTAAAACTAGTTTAATTGAATCGCGGTGCTGTTCCGATGTCGGTATCGTTTGCATCGGGTACTTTTGATTTTCAACGGACGAACTCGGTCCAACGTTTAGGGACAACCGAAAGCGTGAATGAAAGTTACGTCGGATTTGAGCAAACTGATACAAAATTACTACATATATATTAAATATGAAAATTAAGAAATTGTAAAGAACAAAAATTTATGAGAGAAGCATTCAAGAACATTTTAAGATCATCCTTATTTTTGTTTCGTATTCAGTCTACTCAGATTTCAGTTTCATTTGTGCGTTTTATTTACAATTTTTCTAAGAAAACGAGTGAAATTCAATCGCACGCCTATGTTCACAAAAACATTTTTATTGTTTCGTGTATCGATACGTTAAAAGTTGAATCGTCGAAAACCAAAAGTTCCGCATACTTTCTTCCGTTTCTTCGATTCTTTCGTAACAAAACATGGATAATATAGAGTGCGGCACTTAATACAGATCGTGCAAATAATTTGTTTACTTTTGATGATAGATAAAAACAGTTCAAACTAATCTGACTTGATATCGAGAAAAATATTGCTCGATACCATTAGTTTTGGTTATTTGAATAGCTTTTGTCTATCATCAGGAACAGGTAAGTTATTCGAATGGATTTGCCTAAGAGTCTCGCTCTGTATAAACGACAAATCTAGACATTTAGTAAACTACACTTGCGAGAAAGAATCGGAGGAAGTGCAAAGCACCGATGTTGCGCCGACACGTGGAGCGTTTTTAGTTTTATAATCATCGGAAAGAAGAGAAACTGCCGATGCAGTCGCGTAACTGGGTCCAACGCGGTGGTGGGTACAGATTGTAAAATTTACATTTTAATGAGAGAAAAAGAAGGAACAACGGACACGCAAACGTAACTCGTAACCCATGGAAAACACTATTATACGAAAAATTGAAAAGTGAAAAAAAAATGCATAAATGTCCATTCGGTTTACAGAAGTGATATACGCTGACGACGATCATTCTCTGTGGACTGGTCATCGCCGAACACTACGTATATCTCTCCATTATCGAACATCGTATCGCAGCAATTTTTATTTTCATTGGGCATAGTCGTAACGATTAGATGAAATTAGGAGAACTTCGTCAAAGTGTACAGGAGCAACTTCAATTTCAGTGTTTATCTACCGGAACATATTGACTGTGTTGTTGCTTTTTAGATTTTTGATCTGTCGAGGCCACGGACGCGAAACATAAAATTTATCCTATCGAATTACCCTACGTAAATTTATCAGCGATTACGTATTCTGCGGTACGATGTTCTTTGAATCTCTCAGCAAGTGCAATAACTTCGCGCGATCGACTAGCCACAGAGATTCTGTCGCGGATTGGAAATGGCCGGCGAACGTATAACAAACGTGCGTGTTATCGTTTGCTCGTGCTCGTGGCATTGGTTCATAGCGACATTGGGGACGAAAATGCCTGTATAGAGACTTTTTTTAAGGATACGTGATTCTTTTTAGGTCCCGCAACGTTTCTCTGGACCCTTGTCAAAAACCTTACAACAAACTTGTGTAAATAACGAAAAATCAATAAATCTTGTAACCATAAAAGAATACGCCTTATCAATGTCCCGTTAAAAATTATACTTATGCAATTATACATTCTTATCATCCGAATGAGAAATCTATTTTACGAAATTTTATCAATTTCGTAGTCACTTGTATTTGATACAAACGGTATAGAAACTGACATTTTAATTGTTAGGATTACACAGATCATACACTGACATTACAATAGATGTGTTTCTATAATATAATACTACTTGTATTTTTTAGGGAAAATTCAGAATAGAATTTCAAAATTACTAACACAAAAGGCACGAGGTAAGTAGTAGACTGCAGATCGTAATGCACTTTTTATTTCGGGGTAAATATGCAATTCTTGGGATCCTTTTTAAATGAACTTAATACAGTTTAAAAAAAATCTCATTGAATTGGCAACTAAAGGTCCTGAAAGAAAATTGTCTTAGCTTTCCAAAACACTCATGAAAAATGTTCTACGATCATGCGTTCGCAAGTTGTGGGCGGACAAAGTAAAAAGTTCCTTTTTTGCTTGGATAGCGAATAACCCGGTCAATAAAAATCATACAACAAAACCAAAAAACCAAATTAAAGAGGAATGTTTGCTCTATAAGAACTTTTCATTGGATTTATCTGAATAAATTTTGTTTAGCCTGTGCATACAGCCAAAGTAGACAAAAATTTCTGAAACTTCGTTACTTGCGCTTCATCTTGATAAAACAGTATTATAATCAACGACGAAAAGAAATGAGTCCTTGATTAAAAAACTAAAAACTTCAAGCTTCGAAATGCGTTTCTTAAATATTTTTTGCGATCATTGAGATACAGCCATTCGAAAATGACAAAAATTTACATACATGCTTGCAATCGACATATGACATATAGCTATCATTCGTGAAAATTCACCGACTCGCCATCTAGCGGCCAAACATCCGAAGCTCGAGTGCGTGTGGAAGAAAGAGAAAGGAATATGTAAGACAAGGATAGAGAGTGTGTGTGAAAGAGGGAGAAAGGTCCATGAAAGACAAGGATAGCGACAGGGTGCGAAAGAGGAAGAAAGGAACATGAAAGACAAGGATAGAGCAAGGGTAATGGAAACAGAGATAAAGGTACATGAAAGACAAAGGTAGCGACACTCCACCGAATGTTAAAGGTGCGCAAGACCCAGAGCGAAACTCCGAGTTGACTTCAGCGACAATCGCGGAAAAAGTAGGAAACTTCGGGACAAGGACAGAGAGGGCGATACAACAATTGCAGGAGAGACGAGGACAGGACGATTAGGCTAGCATGATTCTTGTCAAGGATATTGAAGCAAAGAAGCAATATTTTCTAGTAATTCTAGTTTCAAAATATTCCTTATACCTTGGCGCATGCCACTGTAAGGCCCGATTTTGGAAAAAGTGTTTGTAAACATATTTATTCTATAAGAAAAGAAAAACCATACTTTTATTATTTATAAAGTTTCGAGACCGAAATTGCAAAATCGGGCGATAGAGTGGCATGCGGAGTGATGTAAAGAATATTTTCGAAAAAGAATCGTGAGAAAATGTTGCGTCCTTGGTTCAATATCCTTGACAAGAATCATGCTAGCCTAATCGTCCTGTTCTCGTCTCTCCTGCAATTTTTGTATCGCCCTCTCTGTCCTCATCCCAGAGTTTCCTACTTTTTCCGCGACTGTCGCTGAAGTCAACTCCGAGTTTGGCTCTGGGTCCTGCGCACCCTTAATAGACATTATCAATAATTTTTTGATTTTCTAAGAATAATCCATGCACTTTTGCAATTGTGTTGTCAAGTATAAACCACTAGCAACATTCAGGGACCATTTTCCATACGATTTTCATTATTCTCATTGTTATTAAGTAACAATTAATCATTATTCGTCAAGGTTAATCTTACACCGGTACTTGAAATCATTCACATTATTAATTATTAGCAGATAATTTATGTACTTTGACGCATGTTGAATAAAGTCCGGACCAGTAGCAACATTGAACGGCCATTAGCGATACGATTCTGATTGTTATTAATTAATAATCAATGATTCTTCTATAAGATAACTAATGCAAAATTGTTTATAGGCATTGACAGGTATCCTTTGTGTGCGTGCGAGAAAGAACGAAACATGTGCGACAAGGATAGCGAGTCTTTATTGGCGCCATCTACTAACAGGACGTTCAAGCTTATCGTGAAATAGTTCCACCATTTCGTCGTTAGATGGCGCCATTTTTTACTATACGTTTACATGTAAATTAATTTATTAATTTATTCTATAGAGCAAAGAATTTTAACGAGAGCGCTCATGAAGCATTTAAAAATTGACCTGTAATAGGATTTTTCGATTTTTAATGTTTTTTTGTTTGTTTAAACAACTGGCACCATCTAGCGGCGAAATTATGAAACTATTTCACGACAAGTTTGAACGTTCTGTTAGTAGATGGCGCCACCAAACAGTCGCTATTCTTGTTGTACATGTTTCGTTCTCTCTCGCTCTCACACACTGGATACCAGTCAGTCGTAAGAATCATTTATTATTACTTAATAATAATCAGAATCGTATCGAAAGTGGTCCTTGAATGTTGCTACAGGTTCAGACTTCATTCAGTACGTGTCAAAGTACATCAATTGTTTACATATTGTTAACAAACAATCGATTAATGCGAGGTGTCAACGATTCGTGTCGATGTCGAGTTCATCTTACCTAGCAATCATTGATTATTTATTACTTAATAACAATGAAAATCGAATCGCTAATGGTTCTTGAATGTTGCTAGTGATCTATACTTGACAACACAATTCTAAAAGTGCATGAATTATCCTTGGAAAGTCAGAAAATTATTGATAATGTCTATTAACATTCGGTGAAATGTCGCTATCCTTGTGTTTCATGTAGTTTACTCTCTGTTTCCATCACCCTCGCTCTATCCTTGTCTTTCATGTTCCTTTCTCCCTCTTTCACACACACTCTCTATCCTTGCCTTACATATTCCTTTCTCTTTCTTACACACGCACTCGAGCTTCGGATGTTTGGCCGCTAGATGGCGAGTCGGTGAATTTTCACGAATGATAGCTATATGTCATATGTCGATTGCAAGCATGTATGTAAATTTTTGTCATTTTCGAATGGCTGTATCTCAATGATCGCAAAAAATATTTAAGAAACGCATTTCGAAGCTTGAAGTTTTTAGTTTTTTAATCAAGGACTCATTTCTTTTTGTCGTTGATTATAATACTGTTTTATCAAGATGAAGCGCAAGTAACGAAGTTTCAGAAATTTTTGTCTACTTTGGCTGTATGCACAGGCTAAACAAAATTTATTCAGATAAATCCAATGAAAGGTTCTTATAGAGCAAACATTCCTCTTTAATTTGGTTTTTTTGGTCTCGTTGTATGATTTTTATTGACCGGGTTATTCGCTAACCAAGCAAAAAAGGAACTTTTTACTTTGACCGCCTACAACTTGCGAACGCATAATCGTAGAAAATTTTTTATGAGTGTTTTGGAAAGCTAAGACAATTTTCTTTCAAGACTTTACTAGACTTTATACAGTTTTTACTGTGTTGGGACTGGGGATTGACTGGCAAAAGACGTGGTACGGTATGAAGCCAAGGGGGTGATCCGTCGGCCATCTTACGTTGCCAATTTACAACGGGAAGTTTAAATATGACTCTAATTGAAACTATGGTTATATGTTTGAAAATAAATTTGTATAATGTCAACACTGAATATCTAATGTTTTGTTAGAGTTTGTTACTTTTTGTAATCTACCAATGATTACAATGTATCTATGGGTGCGTTCCGTTTCATTCAATGCACGCATCAGAGCGCAATATAAAACGCACATATTTATTGTAAATATAATTTATTGGTTTGCTTCTAACAATAAATGAATGTGGTTCTTGTTGGAAATCGGGGATGCACGTTTAGCCTTAAACTATAGACTCTATACAGATGTCTAGCAGTCTTATAAATTCGCAATGACAACGTAATATGGCGGACATGCCTTCACTTCGAGTTCTGATATGCCCGGTCCCTATAATCTTATGTCCGTGGTTTAATTACTATATTATATTTATGCCATCTATACTTGGACTCACCGGTGTACACTATTTTTAAATTTATAGAACGTTTGAAGATGTGAGCGATTGTTTTCACAATTTCGAAGACTGATTACTGCTGATTACTAGTAATTATAATTAAAAAGGGTGATATATTACAAATCTGTCGAATCTTGCAAAAAATGATTATGATATATTTGTGCACCGTTTAACTTTATGTAATTATATTATTTTTGACAATATTTCGTAATATTTAGTATATTGTTGATGTGAACTAATAAATAGGAGTAATTTTGTATTAATATGCATCTCTATTTTTATATACAGATTCCTATCATAGTAAACAAAAAAAGGAAATGGAGAAAGTTGTGGATACGTTGAACAAGAAATTGCGTGCTGCAAATAAACATCAAGAACTTGTTAACGAATATAAAACATTACACACCGATGAGAAACGTATAATATTTACTCTTAATGTTATGTCAAAATTTGATATAATACCAACTATATGTGGCGATACAAAAGATGCAAAGGAATCAGAGAAATTGAGAGATCAAGGTAATAAGGTATTTGTTTCTACGCCATTGACAAGTACCTCTTGTGTAGAAGCATTGAAATTGTATACAAAAAGTATAGCTTACGCGCCATATCCATCTGAGCAGTTAGCTTTGGCATACGCCAATAGATCTGCAGTTTTAATAAAGGTACATAAGTATGAAGAGTGTATACGGGATATAGATAGAGCATTGTCATTAGCGTATCCGAATCATTTAAAAGCTAAGCTTCATATGAGAAAAATTGAGTGTTTGATGGTTTTAAAGCATCCCAATACAGAAGATGCTGTCAAAGAAGCAGAACAATGGCTAGAGAAAACGTCATTGACAGATGTTAATTCTAAGAAATTAAACGACAAACTTGATTCTCTAAAAAGGATGCCAAGATCATATAATTCAAAATCAGAATATAATGCAAATCATAAAACTGAAACTCCTCTTCCCGAAATGAAAACTCGCAATGCAGAAATTCCTTGCGCTTCGGATGCGATAACTCTAAAGTACAATGAACAATATGGTAGACACGTTGTGGCAGCTCGCAAAATAAACCCTGGTGAGGTGATCGCCATAGAAAAGCCTTATTCGTTACTTTTAAAGCCTGACATTGTACAAACGCATTGCTCGAACTGTTTAGAAGTATCTTGGGCTAATATACCTTGCGATTATTGTACATGCTCTATGTATTGTTCAGAAGAATGTAAGATTTCGGACTGGGAGAAATATCATGATATCGAGTGCTCCGTATTTCCTTCTTTGTTAAAGATGGATTTCAGTAAATTAGATTTATTTACCTTACGACTCGCGATACAGGCTGTAAGAGAAAGTTCAAGTGTGCAGGACTTAAGAAAAGAATTGAACGAGGTCGACAGTTGCGATGGTAAATAATTTAACGACCTTGGCTATCATGAATGATCACATGCATGGGAAAGTACGTAGCAATTTTAATTGTGAACTCTTTTAGATCCACGTACAAAAGGTTTCTCTAAGAGTGGAATATTTGAAAGCGATAAATATAGAAGTTTATTAGGTCTTGTGACTAATACAGAGAAACGTTCTGTAAATGACCTGTTCAGAAGATCTCTGGATGCTAGTTATATTTTGTACTTCTTGGCAACCTGTAGTAACATGTTTGGTAGTCAATTGAAGAACGACCTATCCGTATTAGTAGAAAACTCTGACGTTACATTCGTTGGTGCTGTTATATTAAGGCATCAACAGATGATTCCTAGTAACGCTCACAGTGTATGTAATTGTATGAAAATTCAAATAGTTTTGTTTCATCTTAATCGAACTTTTCTTTTCTTTCGATATAAGATTGTTTTGAATACATGACAATTACACATGTATTTACAGTATTCGGAAGAGGATGGATTGGAACAGGTTGAGCGTGGTAGTGCAGCTATGCCATTTTTCAGTTTGGTTAATCATAGCTGCAATCCAAATATATTGAGACACTCGAGGTCTAAGCATATGATTATGTTTGTCATGTATCCTATTCAGAAAGATGAACAGGTAAATGGATGGATAGCTAAATCGCTCGCAGGTGTTACATTAAGCGATAATACTATTGACAAAATCTATTTTCTTCAAGATATTTGATAGTTATACAGAGCACTATGCAGTTACACCAAAAGCTACCAGGCAAAAGAAGCTTCTGAAGCAGTATTATTTCAAGTGTGATTGCATAGCGTGTCGAGAAGACTGGCCTCTATACTACGATGTGAAATCGTTTACTGTAAGTTATTACAGTCAGTACTGTGTTTTTTAAAAAAAAAGCACACTTCAATAATATAAAATTGTAGGTAGCAGTTTTCTGCTTGTAAATAAAATATTTTTTTTAACACGATTTTGCATTTGCGAGATAACTTGTATGTAGGTTTTGAGATCAATGACATCAAATAATTTGAAGTTGAAAAGTATTGGAAGTAATTACATTTGACGACATTTTACCATATAAATATTTATTCTTGCCGTATCTGTTTACAGAGTTTGATTAAAAAAAAGGAAGACGAACATAAAATCACTCACGCGCTGAGGATGTTGAACAGATACATCGATATTGCTACCGAAGGAAATATTTCAGATAAACCTTACATAATAGATGACCTAATAAAAATGATCGAAGTTCTATACTATCTGGTGCCAATGCCGTGCCTAGAAATGAATAGCGTGGTGGAAACTCTAAAACGCGTTTACGATTTGAGGGGAAACGTATTTGAAATGCCTAAACTCTGAATGTGTTTCGTGCAATACTATCCTCATTCATTGTCGTTATTTTTTTTTTTTTTTTTTTTTATAATGTTAACTTCAGTGTGACAACGGATATCGATATATCTACAGATTATATCTACATATATAAATACTTGTACATACAATTGCGTGTATATCTACATGTCTTAAGTACGGACAAAGATCGGAGAATAAAAACGATGTATTCGATCAGAAATTATAATAAAATGATACAAACGTATTACCTCTGTATCCTTGATTTTAATTACTAGTTATTAAAAGTCTAAACTATTTCCATCAATCATCCACGTTTCAAGTGGTATTTGTAATAGATGCTCGCCCTATAATTAAATTATATAATTTGAGGTAGAGAAGTGAGTAGAACGTGCATAGAAAACCTCTCGTATAAATTATAGAGTTGTAAATACTGCTAAATTCTGATTGCTCAAACTGCCTTCTTGCGGTTGTCCCTATCTTACGAATAGCCAGCTGATTATTGGTAACAAAATTGTCAATCTGATACATTGATATTTGCCACTGGAACCACTATGCGCATTTTCAGCACTTTCTTCTGTGTTTATATAATTAATTCTCCATTCGACACCAGGATGCACTGGACTATGCTTCTTTAAATACTCAACGGTTGCATCTGATGTAGTAAAACCTGAAATAATTCGAATTGAATATACTGTGACATGCATGGAAATGAGAATTATTGCGATACTACTATTTATATAAAAAATATGCTTATTATTCTTGAAATATACACCGATTAAAAATGTTTAATTGTATCTTTTGTGTGAAATTGGATTCCTTGTAATTGTAAAATTTAACACACATTCAATTAAACGTACCCAAAGACTGAGATTTAAGATCCTTTAGCATATCGTATCCATCGCCACCATTTTGCATAAAATCAGGTATAAGCACATTATAAGTTTCGTTCTTTTTAAGTTCACTGTACGCTGGAATGATACAAGACGCGCATCGCACTTGCACGGAAACCACTCTCGAATTTTTTTGTTGAGTCAAGTCGTAGACCACCTGCACGATTGGAAATCTTGATTGACTTAGCCGATAATGATACATTATACTTAAAATAATTTATAGAAATAAATCATACCGATGGAAGGATCGGTATACTTTACGAATAAAAAAAGAAAACAAATCATTTTATAACTATCCTTTACCTGAAGCCCAGAAAACTGTACGAATGCACCATACAGATTCGAAGTTGTATTAATCTCCAAATTGTGAACGCTCCATTCCAAAACCGAGTAAATCACTTCTCCGGTCATCGGTACCTTCATGATTATATTTTGAAAAGGTAGCACGCTAAGAATATCTCCCAATGTAACTTGGTCGTTGTTGTCTCTGGTGATGGAAGCTCTGATACTGCCACCATTGTGAAAAGCTATGGCAGCGTCGGTCCAGCTGTCTTTTCTTGCGTATTCCCCGGCATTATACTCGATCATAGCATCCGTGATAAGATTGCCCAGGTTGCATTCTTCGCGCCTACAGACTTTGCTGTCTCCATCGAGGAGAACGCGCGTTTTTCCAATCACTTTGTGACTTACCTCGTCTATTGCTCCTCTCATTTGATCAAGTTCTTCTAAAATGTCTTTTGCCTGTTCAACATTAAAATACTTATTAGAAATTAATATCGTTTAGGTGTGAAGTTTGACAATTGTGGAGAGTATTGCACGAAAGAAACATTAATAGCGATATTAAGAGTCAAAGCTTCACAATTACAAGGTGTGGCAATTAAATAACGAGACTGGTGTGAGAAGTGTGATTTATTGCAAATAAAGTTACATTTAACTTTTATTTCCTTTAACATACTCTCCTCCCCTATCTATACACCGCTGCATACGTGTCTTCCATTGTTCAAAATAATGCTGTAGCTCATCAGTTGTTAGCCTCTTCAACAACTCTGCCGTTTTTATTTTTACATCTTCAAAAGATTGACTGACTGGGTGCCTGAAGGTCAAACCGTTAATCAAAAATACTACAGAGAAGTCCTAATCAAGCTGAGGGAAAGAGTAAGGAAGAAAAAACCGGATTTGTAGAAGAACGACTCATGGATTCTGTACCAGGACAACGCACCAGCCCACAATACCCTATCTGTAAAGCAGTTCTTAGCGGACAAGCACATTCCTGTGCTTGATCATCCTCCGTATTCGCCAGATCTCGCACCGTGTGACTTTTACTTGTTCCCAAAAGTCAAAAGTGCATTAAAGGGAACACATTTTCAGTCTGTTGAACATGTAAAAATAAAAACGGCAGAGTTGTTGAAGAGGCTAACAACTGATGAGCTACAGCATTATTTTGAACAATGGAAGACACGTATGCAGCGGTGTATAGATAGGGGGAGATAGTATGTTGAAGGGGATAAAAGTTAAATGTAACTTTATTTGCAATAAATCACATTTCTTACACCAGTCTCGTTATTTAATTGCCATACCTCGTATAGTACGAGGGTCGTTCAGAAAGTAAGTTTAACGATGTTAGCGCTGGTCTTAGTGAGAAGGTAGAACTACAAAATTGTAGGAACATGTTCTCTCATTTATTTTGATCAGTTTCGTGTGTCGTAGACTCTGGTCGGTCGATTGTCGCGTGTTTTGTAACATTTTATAATGGCGATTACGTTAAAATTTGCGTCCAAGTGTGAACCGCGTAGTATAATACGTTTTTTTTACCGCTAAAAACTTCACAGCTACAGAAATTTATCGAGAATTATGTTCTGTTTACGGCGATAAATGCGTGAGCCTGCAGATGGTTACGCGTTGGCGAACAGCGTTCTTAAATGGTTGCGAAGAGTTGCACGATGAAGAGCGCGAAGGATGATCAGCGGACTAGAGCTGCCGGAAAGACCGAATATTCAAGCGGCTTTTAAGCCGAGTCAAACCGGGACCCGATTTCCGAGCCGAATCGAGTCCTTGAAAAAACCGAGTAGCTTGAAAGATTCAAGCTACACGAAACAAACCAAGTATCTTGAATTTTTCAAGCTACCCGAATAGAATCGAGCGGTCCGAAAAAACCAAGCGGCCCGAAAGAACCGGGCAACTGGAATGGTTTCGAGCTTTTCCGAGTACACATGTTAGTCCGCGGCCGGGCAACAATGGTATCATAAAAAAGACGTAGCAAACTCGACTCAAAGAAGGCCGACCATCATTTTTCGTATTTCTTATCGAATCTTAACGGATGCATTACCAATCGATTCCTTATGTTATCCCGATGAAAATGGTACCAGACACGATACAATTCAAGTTATTTAGAAGGAAATTATACGGAAAAAATGATTTGCACGCTTTTTGCCTATCTTCGTTAAAAATAGTCCGATTTACATAGTGTTTAGTAGCGTTTTCATAGCGAGTCCAACTCGACTTGATTTTTTCGGATACCTGAACAGCCCTACTGCGGGTGCAAAGTGGACGAAAGTCATTACGCCTTGGGAATTCAAAAGCTTGTTATTAGTTATATGAAATGTATTGAAAGATGTGGCGATTACGTAGAAAAATAAAAAATTGTCTGAAAATTTAAAAAATGACCTTGTTTTTGTGTTTTGATCACTCTTTCACAGCGCAATTAGACCGTTAAACTTACTTTCTCGTAGTAAAACCGTGTAAAGAAAGTTTGAAGTTTCGCATTGCCGTACTTTCCATATAAATAAAAAGAAAGTTGGCGCAATCACCTGTTCGATGCTGCTATCAACGAGAATAGGGTTGCCACTGATTTTAGTCACCTCGCCCTTGGAGTCGAATGTTACCGTCAGGTTTCCCAAGTACTTGGTATAGGCGTACGCCTGGACCACGTGCACCTTTCTTCCGCTTTTCTGCACGACTGTCGTGGGGTAGAGACCCTCGGGCACCTCGACGTCCGGCTGTTGGCCATTGTAAAGGAACGTGTTCGTGTGTCCACCGATCACCAGATCGATGTCTTCCACTTCCCTAGCGATCTTCTTGTCCGTCTTGAAGCCAGAGTGTCCCAGAGCGATCAGAATGTCTACGCCTTGCTTCTTTAGCTCTTTCGCCTCTCTGCGGATACTCTCAACTTCGTCGAGGAAAATCACCTCCTCCGACTTGGAGATTATCTTGGTCTCTGGCGTTAAGTAACCGATCACGCCGATTTTTCGTCCACTCACGGTCAGAATTGTGCTGTTCAATAGATTTGTAGCAGCTAGCTCCAGCTCTTTGCTTAGGTCCAGATTAGCCGTCACTATTGGGAACGTGGCGTTCTGAACGAAGGGTATCAGGCCGCTCACGCCATCGTCGAACTCGTGGTTACCTAAACTCTGCGACACAAAAAGTACAATTTATCGGTGATTGCAAGTTTCATCGCTCGAGGTCTGTATACACGAAGGAGTGCTTTTGAATTTAACCCTTTGCACTCGGAGCCATTTCTTTACAGAATGTGCAAACAGAAGTCATGTATTACACAATGTAAATTATAAAGCATGTGAGTTACTGTAATGATACTTGAGCTTATATGTATCTTTAAACATTGAAGAATATATTAATGTCAAAGATCAAAATTTTATACTATTCTAATGTGTGACAATGTGTGGAACAGTCATAGATGTGCATCGATAGTTTCTATCTTTTAATCATCACAAATTGCGTGTTGCCGCGTACCATATTTTTGTTTGATTTTTCGTGATATTTGAATAGAAACCTTCGAGAAATCATACATTTTTACAAATTTTATGCTTCCCATAAGTTTATCCTGTGTAATCACTAATAAAGTTTTGCTGGACTTATGATGTCCCTTCAGAAGAGACGTCCGAGTGCAAAGGGTTAAAGAATCAGCTCTGCGAAGAACGCGGACAATCTTTATCGCGATAAGTGGCAGTTTAAAAAGTTTGAAAAACGATAGCATACGTATCTTTGAGACTTTCTATTGTGCCAAAGTTTCATGAAGTATCATGAATACATACAAAATTTCGAATATGAAAAATCATTGAAACCTTGGTCTGTCATCCCATCGTAATTGCAACACCAAGAAGGAACGAGAAAGTTGATGGATTCGTTTAGTTCTTTTGCCTAATTTATTCGTTTCGTAATGATCATACGTTATTCTTCTATGACTTTATACGGTCGTCTTCCCAATTAGTTGAAGCAATTTCGGTTAGCGCCGCGAGCAATAGCCACTCTTACGCCACTCGCTTCGAGTCAAGGTGAAATTTTTCAAACCATTCTAAACGATACGCATCATTCGAAATGGTTTCTTAAAAACAGTTGTCATCAAAGGACGCGTTTTTGCTTTTGCAACGTAAAAACTTGACAATTTAAGCGAAGATTTTGTACAAGACAATATGTACTTTGCTCAATTTTGCTAGAATTTGAATGACATTCTTGAATAATTTTTCAACGTACCGTAGCGTTCGGAGCCAACAGGTTCAGGAATTTGGCAACTACTTTCCATTTGTACACGTTGTACCACATAGAACCTTGGTAAGTGTCCCCAGCATTCAGGAAGATACACGGAATCGACGATTGTCTTGCTTGTCGAATAAGGGTGGCTATCCTGGCGAAACCTCCGTAACATTTTCCAGCTTCCGCTTCCTTTTGGGAGCAGACACTGGACAGCTTCGACGTCTGCTCGAACCTGTGAATATCGGTGAGCTTTTATTGCAACAAATTAACCATTAATTCGTAGTAACCAGTCCTGCGAGCATCATCTCTAGAATATCACGACAATATACCCAAAAGACTAATTACAAGCATTTTACCGAAAAATCTTCTAATAATTCCATGTTTTATTTTCTTTTCCTGTAACTTCCAATTTTTGTATTCGATTCTTCAAAATCCCTTTCATTTACAACAAGACGTTAAATTATAATCTAAAATTGACTACAAGAAAGATGATATACTATTCATGAAAAATACCAAATTTCGAATCAGTTTTTCAGCTTTCGTAGGTTTTTATATCTATAAGTAATAATATCATATAAATCAACATCTGTACTTATGAGCAGCGAAGTAATAAATCAAAAAGTAGAGGCACAAGCCACCGTTTATCGACAAATTCAATTTCGAGAAATTTGCGGAACGTAAACGGTTAAATAGAAAGAATAGTTAACAGAGACCTGATTTCCATGATGCAGCGATAAATTGATTTTTACCGCAATGGTCATGAATCGCGAGATAAGAGGAGGTATAAAAATCTTGCAGGAAGCCCGTGACACGCTGATCGAATTGCAAAATACCTAAAGATTATAAAAAGCGGGGAAAAAACTAAACGGACGGTTAAAGCCGAGTTGACAAGGTCCGGAGGCTCGTTTGCATAAGCAAAAATATTTCTCGTTGCAAGAATGAGGAATTGCGATTCGTATGAATTAATTCTTTCGTCGCGTATTAATTAGCATCCGGCGGGGGGTAATTAGTGCTCGACGCGTGGCAAAAACTAATCAGCTGATTCAATACTGAACATGATACGCGTCAGAATGCGACGAGGTTTTTTATTTTTAAATGAAAAATGAACTTGTGTAAGGACTTGCCAGTCAAGTTACTCCAAAATAAGGAGTGCTTTATAAAAATTCTAAGGAAATGAATACAAGTCTACCTGAACGTTTAAGTTAATTTTTTTTCATCGTGTGAAAAAGAAAGTGCAAACTAGAGTTACTTTCCTTTAATGTAGGAAAATTGAAAGTTGTTATTATTAAAACTGTAACTAAAATCTTTATAAAAAAGAAAAAATAATTACCTTGAATGCATGTCGTTCGTGTGAACAATTCTAAGAGTAAGTTCTTCGCCTTCCCTTGGAATAGGATTTCCAAGGACCTCGGTGGAGACCACCAGAAGGGTGCACCAAATTGTGATCCAAATTTTCACCATTTTCGGATCGTTGGGTATATTTCTTTTCGTTTAATTTTGGACGCCGTTTCTCGTGGTTCTAAATACGTTTGAAAAGTGACCACGTGTCACGTCGGGTTGATACTATGTACCTGTCAAGCAAAAAGTAAAAAAAAAAAATGAATGGTTCATTTGTTCGTCACTCACGACCTCGTCTGATCCAATGTAATTTTACTTTTAGTATTATCACGTTTTGTTTTCAGTTAGAATGGATAATAGTCGCGAAAGATTGATAAAAAAAAAAATAATTATCGAAAGAATAGTAACGATTTTCCAGGTCGTTAAATTTTGTTTTTTAGGTACATTTTGTCTTTGTTACAATCTTTTATGGATAATGCATAATCACGACTGTCGAACGTAATTATTTCTACGACATTTAAAGCTTATGCTCGACAAAATAGATGAAATATTTTTTTACACAAATTTCGTCCCTCTGTTTTCAGAGTTATTAAAGAAATCATTCTCGTGTCAATTTTCATTCTGTTTTTAGAGATCTTAATTGTCCAAAGTTTTTATTTTTCTGTAATTTGAATCTGTTCACTCTTCTAATTTCTACAAATTTTTATTGAAAAAACATTCTAATTTTTCATAGTTCATATTTATTTAGGAATTCTAATCTACTAGATATACTAACTTTCTTTGTAGCAAAATTGAAGCAAAATTGAAGCTTTGGTTCAACCTTCAATTTTGCTTCAGCACGATAACAACAATGTTGAGTTTAAATAGATTTATGTTTGAAAAACGCTGGGATTTTTAGAGTCATAATATTTCTGTATCAGGAATCGCGGATGAAGCACGATATGGATGATAAACAACGAATCAATTATGAAATCAAATCCGCTGCAAAAATGAAAGAATTTATGATCTGATTTTCGAAGAGACAGAACACGATTGAACATTCGAAGACTGTTATTCATGATACCGGTTAAGAGAATTTCTTATGAAACGGTTCTTTCAAACGGTTTTTAATCTCATTCCGAGCCAATAACGATTTTCAAATGATTGAATGAAGATAAATATAGATATAGATCAATCACGCTCAATTATTGGCAAACTTACTCCTCGACGAATCTGTTTCTAGTTTCTAGTATCGATGATAACCAGTAGCGTGTTATACTAACTATAATATTATATACAATATAATACAACATAGTATTTGTTTATACTAACAATAAATGTTTGAAATAGTAGCGTACGCGCAGAGTGAATTCTGGGGGCAAGAATCTCCATTTTCCCAAACTTTTAATGAAAATCTGTATAACTTTTTTTAAAATTTATATGACCTATACAATTTTTGAAATATTTTTTTCAAATGGTAGAGATATATTGAAAACATTGACATGGTACCGAAAAAGTTTCAAGCAACACTTTTATTACGTAACCACAATGCTTTTCCTATGGTGCATACGGTTTAACAGATAGGAATTGTTTTGCCAGAACAATGGAACCTCGATTGTTGCACGAGAGTCTCGTTCGTTGCGCGTTATCGACAAATGAAGGGTTTTGTCGCTAATTAGTAAGCAACAAATTAGTTTGGAAATAATAGTGAGGATAGAGCATGTGTAGAGCTGTTACTCGATGGATTGGTTAACTTGGTTAACACTTTGCACTCAAGACCTTTTTTCTGGTATCTACCAGAGTTAATTGCAAAAGAGTTAATTGCAATCGTGTGTACTTTCATTTTAACCCTTTGCATTCGGATGTCTCCTATGACGGAACACTGTAAGTCGAGCAAATTTTGTTAGTGGTTACGTAGAATAAATTTATGCCAGGGCAACTTTTTTAAACATGCATGTTTCCTTGAAGTTTTATTATTGAAATAGCACGAGAAAGCAAACCAAAATATGGCGTATGTACAGAGATTCAGAGAAAAATATACGAGCAGGCGTTACTTGGAAAAGTACGAAGTAAAGGATTTCCTAAAAGAGGCTTTAGGGTTTTGTGCTTTTTGTGTGGTATGCACGGATTGTTCACTAATTGTAAGCGAATCGGGAACAGGTGACGACACAGCACTGATTTTCGCGAAAATGAGAAAATGTGTAACAACTTTGATGTGTCGAAAGTATCAATACAATGCTTAACCCTTTCCACTCGAGGCCTTTTTTTCTGGTATCTCCAGCAACTCGAGATGTTTCTTAGCATTCTATTGCAAACATTTTATCGACACTTCGAGCTCCAAAGAAATTAAACTTAAAGAAATATTAGGTATTGTAGATTTGCTGCGTGAAACCTAATGGTGACTGACAGTCACCTCTCGAGTGCAAAGGGTTAATGGAGAATCCGAAACTATTGCTCGAGTTTTCCATCCCGATTTCTTGCACTAATCGAGGTCTTTCTGCTCTGAGACAACTAAACGTATGAGGATCGTTTAAATATAAATCGAAGGTTTTTTACACAACTTTATTGAGGATAGATAAAAGTACAAATGGATTGCCTTATTTTTCTACGTAGGTTCCTTCAACAGAAATACATTTTCTCCATCAGATAGGAAGCTTTAATCAATCAATCTCAATCATTTTTTTGTAACCCTTCCTAAAGTTTACATTGCTTTAACACTTTATTGCTCGTACCCGGATTAAAATATGCGTATGACATAAATAAATATTTAAAATATACTTTCTTACTTACATAATAGTACCATACGAACCCATATTTTGAGACTCTACAATAAATAATTAAGATAATTAACTCGACATACAATTTTGTACTTTTGTCTTTATGCTATTACATTTAATCAAGGAGTTACCAGAAAAGAGTAAAGTATACGAATTGTAAAACATTAAACAGTTTTGAATTCATATAAAAAAAAAATTTCTCTGTAAAGTTGAAGTTGAGAAATTAAGTTTTGGCCACGAAAAGCGGCTCGCCAGCTCACTGTGCAGTGGTTCAACTATATTTGTATAATTGATTACTGGAGCAGCCAACTGCTTTTTTCCTAAGGGGATTAGAAAGCTTCCCATTTGATGAAGTAAATGTATTCTGTTGAAGAACAGTAAAAGTTAATTATTCGACACTGTTAATTATTATTATTATTTATCGAAGTACTTCAGTTTCCGCATAGGATATACCAAATAAACTTATGAAAGCAAAAAGAAACATTTAAATAAATTTGTAAGAGATGAAAAAAAAAATATACACGTCGAATTGAGTAACCTCCTCCTTCTCGAAGTCGGTTAAAAATGAATAAAGTATACGAGTATAGTTAAGGAGTATGTATGTCCATATTTTAAAAATTCTGCAATATAAACTCCTTCCAGAACAGAAAGAGCATATTCTTCCTATAGTGCACGCGAGTAACAAGAGTTCATTTGTGAGCTATCGATATTGGAACTCGTTTTGATCGGAATCCTGAAATGATGTCTTTATCGACTAAACGATAATGTGTCAGCGAAGAAAATGTATTCTGTTGAAGAAAAGTAAAATTAACTATTCGACACTGTTAATTATTTATCAAAGCACTTCAATTTCCGCATAGGATATACCAAATAAACTTATGAAACCAACAAGAAACATTTAAATTAAGTTCCAAGAGATGAAAATGAATAAAGTATGCGAGTATAGTTAAGGAGCATGTATGTCCATATTTTAAAAATTCTGCAATATAAACTCCTTCCAGAACAGAAAGAGCGTATTCTTCCTATAGTGCACGCGAGTAACAAGAGTTCATTTGTGAGGTATCGATATTGGAACTCGTTTTGATCGGAATCCTGAAACGATATCTTTATCGACTAAACGATAATGTGTCAGCGATTACCACTTTTCGTTTCATTTCGTCGCGTGACGCAGCGAGAGCTTACTGTTACAAGTCAGCGGAAATTTTTTTGGTTAACAAGTTCCTTGCGTGCGCATCAATTTAATTTCTTGGTCAGTGTTAAGTACGCTTGAGAATGCGAATCGTTTCAGGCAGGCGAGTTGTCGATTAATCGATGTCTTGTTGATCCTCGAACAAAGATGAATTTATTTTCTCGTAATATTTTTAACGTATAAAATATTCGTTTTTATTTTTATTCATTTTTGACTCGTTCCTCTTGCGAAACAGTTGCTTAACACGTTGACTGCCAGACTGATACTCTTGAAAATTTCTACTGGTATTAAACTTTGTTTGTAGATTATTAGAAAAATCAAACATTTATTGTGATATTTGTGTTTGTAACTTCATAAAAATTTAAGTATTTCGTTTAAATTCATTTTCTTTAACATTTAACTTCCAGAATGAAGTTATTTAGTTCTTCAGTGAAAGACACTGTCACCCGTATGTGGGTGCCGTGGCGATCAACGTGTTAAAGCGAAATAACTTGTAAATATATTTACAGTGGACGTAGAAAGTATTTGTATACCGATCAATTTCCAAAAAAATTATCTGAACTTATAATTAATTAATTTCTTGGTGGGTAAACCAAACCAAACAAAAACAATGGAGTTGTCATAGCAACGTCTATGACAATCGGGCACGAATTTATGCAATCATCCAATATATAAACTAGTTTTTCGTTAATAATTCAAAAACGAAGTACCATCTGACATTTTTGCAAAAGAAATTGTGGTTCAGAATCGTCTCAGCTGTCCATCATTTGCAGTTCTTACACTAATTCTGGGACACCCTGTATAGCTAGAAATTCTTTTTACCTTTTACTTATAACGTTTGTCTGTTAGTCTTAATCAGTTCCTCGTAGAGAAAAGATTTTCGTTTATTCGGAACATTGTAGGAACAAAATTAAAACTTTTAATTAATAAAATTAATAAAATAGTATTTCATTATTTCATTGTACTCAATTTCCAATAAACTGAAAAAAAACTTAAGACGATTCTGACAACATCGACTTTGTTTCCGAGTAATTTTTAACACATTAATGACCCTAACGACTCTAATCAACGTCTTTGAGCATCGTCCCTATAAAAGAACCACAATAGACACCTGTTGTTAAATTTCATTTGCGTAGGTAGCATTCGACTTGTAAGCGTTCCTAATGAAATTCAGTAGCATCGCGTCAATGAAACCTGGCGCGTCGATAAGAATACGACCGAGAAATTCTAGCGACGAGACTGTTATGGACACCTCTATTGTAGCAAGCAAACACGTACGATACAAGCACAGTCATATTATATGCCAAGATAACGCTAAACAGTTTGCCGTTCTTATCTAATATATACTATTACCTATATTAACAAATGACTTAACTAGATTCCTACAAACATTTGAATTCCTATATTGCAACGATTTTTATTAAAGTATGGAGTTACTCTAATTGGCTTCTGAAATAAACGATATACTATTCGCATAAAAGACCTGGCTGTTTAGTTGTCTTAAAACTAATTATCGAGCTGGCTTGATTAATGCCTAGAAGAGTTGCAGCAATTATAAAATCAAAAAGATATTCCACGAAGTATTAATTATTTATAAATTAATATAAATTCCGTTTTTTTTTTACGAAGTTTTAAAAATTGAGGAAATGTACAAATACTTATTGCTTCTACTTTTCTATTGACTTTTGTTTTTTCTTGTTAATTTTGCAACTTATATAAGTAACTAATTTTTTTTTGTTCTGTATCTATCGTAGAAATTTCCAAGAATATGTAGAATATCATTATTTATAAGAAAGAAGTTTATAAATTGCAATTTCTTCTACACCCTTGAATACCTTCTACACCCATTGGATATATTTTTAATCGAGTACATATTTCCATCCCTCTGTTAAATTTTTAATATCATTTTTAAAAAATCGTTTCGATTTTGAATTAAACGTCATCTACGTTTGAAACATTTTTCCGTTCCAAGTGATTTCGTAAACTTTCAAACAGATGAATGACGTCGGTTGAATAATTATTTCCCAATAAAACTCATTTAGTTTCTGCAACGACAACGTTTCGATTGCCACGCGCTGTCATACCGCCGCGGCGCGCGCTGTTTTGTGGTGGAAGATGACTTCCCTTATTACTCAAACTCTTCCAGTGCTGTATCAGAACGATTCGCATAATAAATTTCTTTAATTTTCGTTCAATTATTTCGTGGATAATAGATTAAATAAGTATTAAGACTCGTGTTTGAATGAAGTTCTTGTTTCGGCTGTGGCTATCGAGCTTTCTCTCCGATTTATTCATTGTTTGTGGCGTTTAACAGGTTTCCGTACAACCAATTTCGCATTACCGGTAAAAATTCTGTTAAAAACAGGAATGGTCCATTCCTAATTTGAAAAAATATTTGTCGCCTTGATTTTGTAACTTTTCCGATGGATTTCACTACAAATCTATCGTGGACACGCTAATCGTATACATTCCTTTAAAGCAGGACTTTACTCGAGTGAATAACCGTAATTTTGCGCGGTTTGGTAAAGTTAGCTGATAAAATGGCAATATCAGCCATTCACTGCACAAATCGATTAACTCCACTTTTTGAAATATCTTAAATTTAAGTGTCAAAGCACTTGGTGTAATCACAACTTTTCATATCTATAATAACTTTCCTGAGAAAGAAAGAATATTTTCAAGTATTTATTTGAATTTATATCATAAACGAGTTTCAAAAAGCAATGTACATTATTTCGTCGCATTTCTCAATTTCTTGTTTCATGCAGTTAATCGATTTGTGCAATGATCAGCTCACATATGGAAAAGCCGATCATTGCACAAATCGATTAACTGCATGAAACAAGAAGTTGAGAAATGCGACGAAGTAATGTACATTGCTTTTTGAAATTCGCTTTATGATATAAATTCAAATAAATACTGAAAAATGTTCTTTCTTTCTCAGGAAAATTATTATAAATATAAAAAGTTGTCACTCTGGTGTAGTCTATACCTACAGCTACAGCGCGTGAACCTCCGTGAAACATCTCAGAACATGGTCGGAAGCGCGGCGATCGCGGGATGTCCGAATCGAAAGAGCGTCGGTCCGAGCGCTCTAAAAATATGCCACTGTCCAAAAGAGAGGAGCCGCGGGATGCGTTCGCGATGCCAATCACGAGAATGGCAGTGTCGTTTACCGACGAATCGGTCCCGCCGATTGCGCAACGAATCGTATCGGGCACGCAAACGAGCGAGCAAGCGAACCGGCGAACGACCCGACGAACGAACCGATTTTCACGAGCGACTGACGTCGACTGAACCACTGTTGTGAGACTGAATGCGATCGTCGCCGTGGCCGGCGACTCAAAACCTCGTGGTGTCTTCGCTTGGCTGTCGGCTCCGAAGTCGCGCGCGATTCGCCGCTTGGAACGTGCGGATTTTCCAGAATCGGCCGTGTTCGATTCGAACCTTCGAGCCTTTGAGTTCATAGCGCGAGGAACCGTTTTCTTTTGCGTCTCTTCTTTAACCACTTTCACTGGACCGTTGCGAAATACATCTGCGCAAGGGATGCTGGATTGGAATACCGAAAAGCTGGAAAAACTTTCGAGTTTGATGTCAGAACTTCAGGTTTGGTGAAAAATCATCTCGTTTTAGATAATATGTACGGTGTCAGTAGAAGAGAAATCGAAGAATTAGTAGACAGAGGGAAAACTCAGTAGAAAGTATAAGGAAAAACATGTTTTTCCTCGTAGTATCCAACGAGGAAATTTTCTTCTTTCGAACGAGGAAGAAAATGTTTTTACAACGATCCTGTGTGTTTGATTGTCTACTGATTTTTCTGTCTTTTTATTATAAAAAGTCCTGAACTGTTGTACGAAGAATTCACTCAGGCATTTTCCGACAACGTCAAGATTTGCGATTCCAAGATATGACCGTATACACGCTGTGAAAATATAAAATTAAATAGCGAAGCCTTCAGTTTACTTTCTAAATGAGTCTTCTTTGGTATTATTAGACTTGATTATAAATTGTTACAGCTTCCTTGAATCATTGACACCACTGCAAACATAAAGGATGTTTCAAAAGAGGCTTCAGAGTTTTGTTGTTTAATATATTCAATACTAGCTGTGCCCTAAATGTGTCTTCTTTGGTATTATTAGACTTGATTATAAATTGTTACAGCTTTCTTGAAGCGTTGACACCACTGCAAACATAAGGGATCTTTCAAAAGAGGCTTCAGAATTTTGTTTTTTAATATATTTAATACTAGCTGTGCCCCCGGTTTCATCCGTGTGGAATACTATTTATTGGTATTCGGAGATTAATCGACAGACAGACAGACGGACACTTTTTTATTCAACTTTGGAAATGTGTCTTTTTTGCTATTATTAGACTTGATTATAAATTGTTACAGCTTTCTTGAAGCGTTGACACCACTGCAAACATAAGGGATCTTTCAAAAGAGACTTCAGAATTTCGTTTTTTAATATATTCAATATTTTCTATGATGTATTCGAAAAGTAGTAGGTGCTACACGTCTGTTTATAGTGAAATGGTTGAAAACAATTAACATGGATGCATCCCTTAAAAGGTGGAAAGGTCGTGGAACAAAATGGTACTTATATAATTCAATAAATATATATTGGCGTTTTGTCGCTCATTTTTGGAGGCTTCTGAAAAAAATTTATGGTGTTTACAGGCAAAATGCTCTATGAAAATTTTGATGTCAAAGATGGGTCACGTTGTGGTCAACATGGTCAATTATAAAACGATGCGATGAAATCATACAAATGGTTGAGAAACACCACGACCTTTTTCGAATACCCAATATACATTGAATATGTTCAATTGGTATATTTTAAATAAAGTACATATGATTGGAATTAAACATAATTGAAAGTTTCCGCTACGCCACGTTAACAGGCATATTCTATTATTAACCCTTTGCCCTCGAGAGGTGACTGTCACCATTAGGTTTCACGGAGCAAATCTACAATACCTAATGTTTCTTTAGGTTTAATTTCTTTGGAGCTCGAAGTGTCGATAAAATGTTTGTCGGCGAGGTAAAGGTGACCTTATTCTCAAATCTAGATAGCTTAGAATTCATGGCAATAGAATGCTAAGAAACATCTCGAGTTGTTGATAGATACCAGAAAAAAGGCTCGAGTGCAAAGGGTTAAAAACAAAACCCTGAAGCCTCTTTTAGGACACCATTTACTTCGTTAACCCTTTACTTTTTCCATGTAACGCCTGCTCGTATATTTTCCTCTGAATCTCTGTACACGCGCCATATTTTTGTGTGCTTTCTCGTGCTATTTCAATAATAAAACTTCAAGGAAACATGCATGTTTAAAAAAATTGTCCTAACATAAATTTATTATACGTAACCACTAACAAAATTTGATCGACTTACAGTGTCCCGTCATAGGAGACATCCGAATGCAAAGGGTTAAAATGAAAGTACACACGATTGCAATTAACTCTTTAACATATAACAACGTGTGAGATTCGTGGTACAGAATTTTAGTCGAAGATGAAAAACACGAGTCAGGCACATCGTATGAAAGGGCGCAAAGAATTGTATACTCGATTATGGCATGCATGATCCTACAGTAAATCGTAGGTCAAAGGGTTAAACGCGTGTAAGATGTTGAAGTATTCACCATGATTGTGCTGACAGGCATATTTTGTTTTTAAAAACGAAATTATAAAGTTCCTCTTGAGAAACACTTTACAACTTTAGTAATTTATTTACTCTTAGTACATAAATTATAGCATTCCTACGATTGTTAAACTACTCATTTGCTTCTACTGAAGATATAGAATTGTGACTTAGGCTCTTTTTATTAAACGTCAAAGATTTGTCAAATAATGTTATGATTTGCAAGCTCGTAAAAAATTATATTATATTATTATTTCAATGGAGACCATAGCCAATTATTTTGTTTCTCGTTTGGGTGGAAAGTGGTCGGATTTTTCGTGCCGTGAATGCTCAATCGATACTTATTATCAGCAACTGGCACGACTACAGTCGACTTTCAAAAAGAAAATAGCCTTTGCTTATCAAAAAACGTGGCTTGTCCATTAATTATAAGATAACGCTTGGCCAAATGTGCGTGTATAGTCACAATATTCGTATATCCATAAATTTGCAAATTGATGTTCTAAGATAATCAGATTTAGAACTTTTTTAACGTTATGAATGTTTACGATAAATGCATGAGAATATTCGTATATCTCCTAAATTCATGAAATGTGTATGTATACAAATATTATACAAATGAAAATTTGTTCAACCAAAGCTGTGCTTTCTGTTTAAAACAATGTTACACTTTTTCTTCCTTGGTAAATCAATGTTCTTTTCCAAAAGAAGTGTACGTTTTATTTATTTGTTTTATGTAATCGCCATATTGCACGATTATGGAAAGGTACACTTAAGGTGAACAGGTTAAGTAATGCTAATACATGCGCAAAAGAAGTGTGGTTCAACCGAAGTGTTGACTTTAAACTTAACCTTAATAGATAACGAACAAAAGCAACATATAGCAATTTATTCGTAACATTCATTCCATTGAACGGTTAAATTGTTAATTGTTCATCATGAAAAATTCCATAATTTAATTCCATAATTCAAACTCCATTCTTTAATTAACAAGTAATAAATAACAGATCATTCGTTTTCCGACATTTTTATCTAAATTGATCATCTCTGTCGCTCGACGTTTTATTTCGAAGAAAAAATCAGAACGTACAAGGATTTCGTTTTTATTGTTAACAGACGATCGCGAAACATTGTTATCGCTCGATGATAATAATCCTATTGTTCGACGATTATCGCAATGTGGAATAAAAGTATAAATGATATCTTTCTTACTCTTTGTGATCCTTTTGTACGTCTGAATAAGTTGAACACTTCGTTATCAGACTATATTTTGCAATGCACTATTATTAGCTGCTAATTGAAGATGTACAAAAGAATTGTTTATCGATACCGTAAGAAATAATTATCCGTTGTGTACTTAACAGTCCAGGATAATATCTTCGACTGTGACGACAATGTTGACGATTTTCATCTTAGAACGTAATTATAGAACTGACAACAATGTTACGTTAGTTTGTGTTAAAGCATTAGGCAAAGTACAAGTACCATTTGATTAAATTAAACAGTGTAAGATTAATTAGGAAAAATACGATTATTATAAATAACGAGGTACTTCTACTACGTTTTAGCGACAAAATCAAATCTGCAGAATAATATCCACAGGATACCTTGCCATGAAAATCATTTTTACCCTCGATGAATCTAAAAAGTAGGTGAGAATCAGTTCCCCTTCGCAACACTATCTTATGTACATATCTATCGGGAGATTTCAACGCGTTGTGCTCTTGTATGTAAGCGCAAACGTACATGTGTAGTCGAAATTGTCTTATCGCATTGATCTCTCGCTTATCTTGTCCATTGGGAGACAACGACTGCTTAACTCTCGATATCTCTCGTACAATTTGTTAAGAGCTGAACTTTATACGTCAAAGACCAGAAGTTCGTTTGACAGGTGTCTCGATAAATTACCGAAAAGCCTTTTAGGGACACGGTGCACAGTGGTCCGGATGGGCTAAAATGAGGTCAAAATTAGAAAGAGGTTCCGGATCTTCATAAAACTTGGTGTTAGATTATTTGGGCTAAAAATGAAGAATCTGATATCAGAATTGCAAAATTCATAATGGCGGATCCAATATGGGCGGCATGTATATGAAAAAGTTATTAGATTTTTACAAAACTTGTTATTTACGACTTATTTGAACCGCAAACTTCAAATCTGATAGCAGAATTGCAAAATTCAAAATGGCAGATTCAATATGGCCGACATGTATAGTAAAAAGCTATTAGATTTTCATGAAACTTGGTATTTATGAAACTGGCATAATCTATTTATTATATATATAATACTACAACAAAAACTATTTGTGTTCTCCAAATATAATGATTATTTTCTAAGATATAGCACTTTAAAGTTGACGATTTTTCTCGTTTCCTTAATGTTCACATTTTGCTGCGTATCTGTGGTAATAAAATCTAAACTGTAATCTTATTGAATAATATATTCCTTATGGCTCATTTTCTGTATTAAATATATGTTATTTAGAATAATTTACCGCTGTAGGGATAAAGAAAAAGTTTGATTTTACCTATGTATTTTTTATTTTAAGATTATGTGATATTTAGTCATTTTGTGAATTAAAATAGAAAAACAAAATGATTATACACAAGACTTCACTTAACTACATGCTTCATAAGTTAGG